GAATAAACTCAGTGCGATTAAAAACAGACCAAGCATTGTTACAATGTTGCTGATTTAATCATATTAAATGAACATAAAATGTTTAGCACATTTTTGTCCAATTATATAGTAAATGTAAAGATAAGCCTTGTCTGGTTCATGAAATTTGAAGTAAAGAAGCTGGTGCATAAGCAAAACCACCAGTCTCTTAAAATAAAACAATGGGACATAAACCTTAAATTGGCAGGTTCCAGAAAAAAACTCGAGAGCTAAGGCTGATTTTGCCAAGATAATGGGAAGAGTGTAAAGCCCATATTGTTGTGGAATTATTGTATTCATTATCCGGATTGCCATGGATCACTATATATGACTGTGAATTCATTATCTTGGGCTTGTGAATTTTAACAAGATGACCTTGTAATGCTTTTATATTTTGGGGTTGATTTACTTAAGGAAAATAGGCCATTCAACTTGCAAGGGAGGTTGCACTATGCAAATAAGTTTCTTTAGCGCTAAATGAATGAGGTGAAGCTCTGCTGATGTACACCGTCCAATCACATGCACACAAAAATGCTGTTTTGTTTCTACAGGATTTGGTATTATTTGTAAAGTGAACCTTCACCACAATTATTAAGGAATATGTAAACCCAATGGGGTTTATTTACTAAAGCTGGAGAGTGCAAAATCAGACTCACTTCTGCATAGAAACCAATCAGCTTCCAGGTTTCATTGCCAAAGCTTCATTGAACAAGCTGAGGTTAGAAGCTGATTGGTTTCTATGCAGAAGGGAGTCTGATTTTGGACTCTCCAGCTTTAGTAAATAAACCCCAATATGTCATATACCTGATATGTGCGTGCTGTACCATGTACTTGTTAAAAAGTATCCAGTTCTCTTTGTATTGCTTTCTTTGTCTGAAATCACTGGTGTTCCTGCCAGTCCCTGTGCTTTCCTATTAAAAACTGACCACACTGGGCATGATAACACAGTGTGGCCAGTTCTGGCTGTGCTGGGAACTAAGCCTACCCTCCTCCAATGATCAGACATGTCCTTACACTTCCCATTTTCACTGAGAAGATCAGTGAACTGCTGTTTCTCTTCCCCCAGCTCGCATGCAGATGAGAACGGAGGGAATGTGATCAATCATAAAAAATTATGTTTTTTTTTTGCATTTATACATAAATGTTTTGCCTTACATAAATGTTTTGCCATTTCTCTTTTAAACTGAAAGGGTTGTTTTAAAGGGGAGGATTTACAATCAATTTAAGTTCTGGGTAAAATGCCATTGCAAAGTGCAGCTTTCCTTGCAAAGTGAACAATCTATTTGCCTTTAGTAAATCAACCTCCTAATCTCAGAGATGACTTAGGCACTGAGTGACAATGTATACTGCTTGGATTTTGTTAAGTCTAAAAAACCCAAAGTGCATATAGGGACAAAATATTTTTTATTGACAACCCCTCTTTATTGTTCCTAGTGACAGTTACAGTTATCACTGGCACAGGAGGTAAGAGGAAAAGTTCCAGTGCTCTGGTGACAACTGTCACCAGAGGGGATTTCCAATCATTCCTTTTGTGTCTTTGGGACAGGAACTGAAGGAAAATCTGCCCAATAGAACAGAAACAAGAAAACATTTTTTTATTAACAAATATTTTTCCAAGCTAAAGAAGAGTTTTGAATTTAGATACACCCAAAGTAAACAAAAAAGGAACTATGAGGCCCCACAATGATCATCTCAATTTCTGTTCCATTATGAGTTTACTAAGTCATGCCTGACCCATCTTTGAAAAGCCTTTTTACTTTAGGGATCCAAAACATTGACAACCCCACAAAAATGAGAACTGCTGGGAGTGTGCCAAGTTGAAACATACAAGAACTACTCATTTTCCCAAGTTTTAGGGCCCATTCACACTGGGCACAGAATAATGCACCCTGTATGCGTTCGTGAACTTGCACCCACCTGCATGTTATATTAGGACACAGCAGCTGTGCCCGCGCAGTCACGCGTCCCAATAAAAATGAATAGGATGCTGGCACGGGGATTACATGCAACAGCTGTGCACCCCTGTGCCGGTAAAAGACGGCCCTGCATGGGAGACACATGTCTGTGCCCCGTGTAAATGGGGCCTTAGTTTTTATAACTCAGTGACTAGTGAAAAATCTATACAGACTTCTCTGGAGATGAATAAAAATGAGACACACCAAGCTGTACAATTCCATAAGTAATCTCAAGAGTTAAAAAAGGATAGCAAATTAGTCTACATATAGTTTTCTGCAAATATTTAATGCACTAATAAACCCAAAACCAAAAGAGTAATATATTTCAGCTTACCATTCATTAGATGTGGAGGCTGCATTAGTTTTCTTTTTTTTTGCTATTTTCCCTCACCTGGTGATTTTGCCAGTAATAAACTTAATGTATTAGAGTGCCCCCACTCTGGATGTAGGAGCACGGGGGCACAGCAGACAGTGGCATTGTCAGTGTGGGGGAGAGTAGTGTACTAGCATATTTAAATACACTAACAAATTGAAGCCAAACTCCAGCTTACGCTGTATAATCAGTTACAGCAAACCTTTTAGAATAAAGGGTTTTCATAAATAAAAGCTGACCACTGTAAACATCCCTGTCAGTGTTAAATGATTTGTCTCATCCAAGTAAACTGATACAGAAGAGAGCTTGTTCTTTTGAAATACAACAGACTTAAGCCAGCCATACATGGGTCGAATTCCGAATGAATTTTCTTTCGAAAATCTTTTCTAAGAATTTTCATTCTAATTTAGCATTATTAGTGGGTCACAGAAATGGCCAATTTTTATATGACCATCGAATTTGAGTGATCGGGCATGTTGTAAATTTTTTTAAAAATGAACGAATTTCAAATCAATGATGGGAGAATCATGCAGGAAATATAAACGAAAAAGAAATGAGCATGAATTGTGACCTGGAAAGAAAAGAAAATTCTTGGCCATGAAAATTCTTTTCTGTAGCAGAACGAGGTGAAATTGAAGGCTTGGTTGGTTGAATTTTGAAATCAATGGTGGCACCATCGGATTACAAAACGCACAAAGTTTTCGTTTTTCTAAAGAAAATTAATTCGGAATTCGACCCATGTATGGCCTGCATTAGTGGCTGGATCGCCAGATGAAAATATAAGAATATCCAAGAATATCTGAAAGTATAAGAGGGAATATCCGATTGCCTCTTGGGGGGATCAGGAAGGAATTTTTTCCCCTGCAGAAGCAAATCATGCTTTGCTGGGTTTTTTACCTTCTTCTGGATCAACTGTGGGTATAGGATTATAACTTTTTTTTTATGGTTGAACTGGATGGACTTTTGTCTTTTTTCAGCCAGGCTAACTATGTAACTATGTAAGAAAGAAAGCCTAAAAAGAGAAAATGAATGCAGCCAGAAATGGTAAGCTGCTATATAGTAAATGTTTGCTTTTAGCTTTAAGAATACAGTTTTTTATTGATTCCATATTAAATCCATACTGGAAATTGCACAACACAATTTTAAAAAATATGTTTTGATAGTAGGACACATGGCTGGAAGTGACAGTAAAGTATAACAGGTTACAATGTCTACAAATTATACCTGAAACACAATACAAACATGTTTAGATGCAGATCAAGTTAGGTGGACACTCAATGCAACTCAGGCAGTCATCTCACGTATGACATCTGGACCAGGGGCAGACTGACCATTGGAGCACTCGGGCACTGCCCGAGGGCCCGGGGTCAGTAGGGGGCCCCATGAAATGCCCCTGGTACCTTTTTTATAGGCTTTTTTGAGTGTGGGCAAGGACACAGGGGCCCCATGATCCCCTATTGCCCGGGGGCCCCATGAGTTGTCAGTCCGCCCCTAATCTGGACTGAAGATATACTGTACGTTTGTGATGCTTATAGCAACCAGAATTCAGATGTCATATTCTAAAACTTCCCAGATCTGCGATTTGTGTGCTTGAAGAAAGGTAGGTGCCTTCACTGTGTGAAATGTATATTATACAGTCAAACATAATTTAAATGTTATTTGGTAATGCAATGTGCTTGTTTACACTAGCACTGTGCTCTGAAAAATTATCTGCAGTTGATCACTTTTCAGAGGGTGTTTGTCATAGAGCATTATATCACCTCCTCGCATCCTGTTTTAAGCCCTAAAAGTCTGTGCCAACACCATCCACTTGAATATGTTGCATTTGGCTTGCTTACACTGCTGTCAAACATGATAGAGGGGATCATTTTTACCACACTGATATGCAAAGTATCATGGCTGCACCATGTATACACCCCCATTTGTACCATGCAATCTGATGTGGACAACCGTACAGTGATTGCAATGTGTTCAGGGTGTCATTAACTTTGTATTGACACCCGCAGTGGACTGCAAACACAGGAAAGGCGCAGGGATTACTGTGTTTCCGGCACCGCATATGTGTGAAGCTAGGCCTAAAGTGGACCTCTTATTCCATTCACTAAAATCACATTATTGGCTTTGTATGCTGCATCTTACATTCATTAGTTAAACATTTTTTGCTTTTAATTATAACTATTGTTTTTTCCACTTCCTGGTTAAGTGAGGCGCTGGTGTAATCAGGCCCTCACAGCAGCATCCAGGGAAGTTCTGCTACAAGTTCCAGGAGGCAGATCCAGAAATCTAGGCAGAGTTCCAAAAAATAAGACCAAAAAAAAAACAAACAATATATTTTACTTTCTACTATAAAACATATCCAATAAAAAAAAATTTTCAAAATCAAATTGATTCATAAATTTAGGCCAATGTGTATTCTGCTACATATTTTTGGTAGAAAACTCCCAATAACCATATATTGATTGGCTTGCACAAAAGCTATAACATCTACAAACTATGGTGTACATACTCGAATGTTTATTTTTTTTATACTAGTAATGGCGGTGATAGGTGACTAATAGCAAGACTGCAATATTGTGGTGGACAATCAGACACTAACTGACACTAAGGGGGGGATTTACTAAAGCTGGAGCACTCAGAATCTGGTGCAGCTGTGCATGGGAGCCAATCAGCTTCTAACCTCACCTTGTTCAATTAAGCATTGTCAATAAAACCTGGAAGCTGATTGGTTTCTATGCAGAAATGAGCCTGATTTTTCACTCTCCAGCTTTAGTAAATAAACCCCTAACTAGCACTTGGTGGGAACCAGTGACACTAATACAGTGATCAGTGCTACAAATATACACTATCACTGTATTATTGACACTAGCTGGGAAGGGGTTAAACATATAGGGTGATCAAGGGGTTACCTGTGTGCCTATCTATGTGTAATGGTTATTGTATGTGCTGTTGTCACTAGGTGATGTGCTGGATTCTATTCCCTGCCTTGCAGGGAAAGAGAATCCAGCACATTGCTGGTAACAGGACACAGCTCTACCTTGTTTACACAGGCAGAGCTGTGTTGTGTCAATCTTCTAGATGAGTGGTGGGTGCCGGCACTCATCCACTGGCCGGCACCTGCTCACTGGTTTCTGCTGGAATCAATCACAGCAGCAGAGGCGTCTCGGTGGTGCACTTGCACACCCATGACCATAAAGCACAGAATCACATTTATATACATGATTCTGCACAGCACGGCTGCCCTGTAGCAGTATATCAGCAATGGGGCGGTCGTCAAGTGGTTAGGTGTCTTAGTCCATGTAACAATGTCCTGTGTTGTACAGACAGCACACACTCATTCCTGAGAAAATAATCTCAAAATCAGATGGATGAATTACAGAATAAGAAAGCCCCTTAGCATTTTATCAACCTACAGGTGCCATATTCCATGTATTGTTCTGCACGTGAGCTTGGTAATAAGGCTGTGCAAAAAGCAATGTTGTACACTCACCTATGACAACCAGCTAGTTTAAGTTCTCATTAGTTTCCAGCAGTCCTAACAATGAAAAATGATTGCTTAACCTGGAAGAAGTTGCAGAACTTGGAATTCTAATGAGCCCTAAAAACCGTTCTGTGGATTTGGCTCAGGTGTGATTTTCTGTCACAGCTGACATGAGTGCAGGCATCTGTCAATTGTCACACAGTCTTCATCAGGCTGGGACAGGTGGGGGGGGGGTAGTAATGAAGTGACAGAATACACTTTTGTTCTAGATAGCATGGCTGAAGTTTACATCTGAATATACATCTGCTCCTCCTATAATACTGGTATAATAATATTCACAACCAATTATTCTTCTTCTCACAGATGGACAACATCTAAATGGATCAATAGGCCTGATGGAATAGGCATCAATATGAAAACTGCATAGCGAAGGAAAGTATTATGCTTTTAATCAGGGAAAATCTCTTTTTTCAGAAACCTTACCCACAGGTGGGTGATAGGATACGGCATAGCTTTGAGGATATAGGCATTTTCTTTCTATTGGAGTCCCCAGGAGCTAATAATGGGGTATATTGCAGCCAGAGAGCCCCCCCCCCTTCCCACTCTAGGAGTGGGAGTTTTGAGGGCCATGTGTTGAACCATAAAGGAAGATGGTTACATTGGTATTGAGGTTTTAGGTTTATTTCCTCCTTTTCCCTGGAAGGCAAGACTGTTAATATTCTGTTGACATGATATATTTGTTGGTCCTCCTCCCAGGGTGGGGCTAGGTGTGGTTGGTGGTCCCCAGGCTTCTAATCCCAGTCTTGGATTATTATACAAGATTTATATAGCGCCAACAGTTTGCGCAGCACTTTACAAAATGAAGGTAGACATTACAGTTACAATACAATTTGGTACAGGAGGAAACAGAGGGCCCTGCTCATTAGAGCTTACAATCTAGGAGGAAGGGTTGAGTGATACAAAATGTAATAGCTGTGGGGGATGAGCTGATGAAGAAAATAAATGGCGGTTTACTAGGTAGAAGCAGGATAGGCTTCTTTAAAGAGAAGGTTTTTCAGGGATCGTCTAAAAGTGGATAGATTAGGAGACAGCCGGACAGATTGGGGTAGGGAGTTCCATAGGATGGAAGAAGCTCGGGAGAAGTCCTGGATGACTACTTAAAAAAGTTTCACAGAACCAGAAGAAGTGGGGTTGAGGACCCACAACATGCATCGTGATATTACTCCCCCAGACCAGACCCAATTTTACGCCAAGGAGCCAAACTATGTAAAGCAGAGAGAGAGAGACAGATAACGATATGCTGTGAAACATGTTAAGATTTTTTATTTATCACATGATTGTGAAAAATTTCTATGCATTATATGTTAGTATACATAAAACAAATAAGTGTTGAATGGCAAAACCTCCTATACGGATTAATGATTTTATTATAAATGGATAAAACTTAACAGTATGGTCAGGGGCGGACTGACAACTCATGGAGCCCCTGTGTCCTTGCCCAAACTCAAAAAAGCCTATGAAAAAGGTACCAGGGGTATCTTATGGGGCCCCCTACTGACCCTGGGCCCTCGGGCAGTGCCCGAGTTTTCAAATGGTCAGTCCGCCCCTGAGAATGGTATATTTTTAGCATTATTGGGCACCCTTAACATGTTTGTAGAAATTTGTTCTTGATATCTCTCTTTTTTTACTCAATCTTTTCCTCTTTCTCACCTCTTCTCTTTAACTTTGGTGTCCGTTTATGAAACTGAGATCAGTGGTGATCCTGAGGATCGTTGCTGATTTCAGTACATTAGTGGTTTATGAAACAGATGATCAGCGGAGAACATGTTCTCTGCTGATCTCAGCACATAGAGAATCTGTCATTGACAGAAACGGACAGTTTATGAAGGTGTGATGTTAGCCCTTCACTGTCAATCTGTGTGAAAATTCTCCCTTTCAGATTCTTCAGCCCAGAGGTGGTGAATCGGGAAGAGAAGAGTGAATTCCGGGAGAACTGAAGAGGAAGGAGGAAGATTATTGACTTCCTTCTACCTCAATCAATGCCCCCAAGACAGTGGAAAAGCCCCTCTGACTTTCACAACCCCCGATGGGGTAGAGAAAGTTAGAAACGCAATATATGTGTGTATGCAGTTTAGTGAGGTACTGAGTGGTCTCTTCTGAAAGAGCTGCCAAAGAAGCAGCAGAAATTTACCACTTCTTAACCTCCCTAGCGGTCTGATTATGTCCATATTTCTGTGCTCAAAGCAGTACATTTTTTTGCATGGAAATATGTAGTTTTTTTATTGTAGACCTGTAATTTTTAGGAATAACTCACTGAAATCTGTCCGAACAATAGTCTAGTAAACATCCCAGGTATGTTAAAATTTGAAACACGAAATCATAAATTATAATTTAATAAATAATCATAAAATAATAAATATAATAATAACATGTAATTCAATAATATAATAAACAAAAAACACTGAATTTGAAATATAGCGCCAAGTTCGCACATCACTGATGTCGTTTTCTATATTCAAAGCATTTGTAAATCATTTACTCCTCTTTAGGAGAAGCGATCTACACAGCTTCATAAACAGGCAGTCAAACTGTCTCCTCTGAGAATGCCAGAGAACACTGGTCATTTACCTCTGCATGATAAATGGACACCTTTATGCCATATTAGCATATTACAAGTACATTACGCCATTTCCCATAGAAAAATGTATGAAAGTGCTTTTTCTATAGTTCAAAAATTCATTTCAATTCCAAATAATCATTTAATTTCATCATAGTCGTTAGGTTAGAATCATTCATTTTCGGAATTCGTTTTGTATATTTGGATTCCTTTCGTATATTCATTATTTTCAAATCGATTCGAAATTCGAACATGGAAATATTTGTTTGATTTTATGCTATTCTATTTAATTTTCTATTCTATTATTTCCTATTCTATTGCACTCTATTCTTTTATTTTGTATTATAGTCTATTATTTTCTATTCTATTCTATTCTAATCTGTTCCTTGATTTTCTATTCTAGTCTGTTTTATTCTTGTCTATTCTTTTCTATTCTATTTTATTATATTCTGTTTTAATCTATTCTTCATTTCTTTCTAATCTATTCTATTCTGTGTTATTTTATTCTACTATTTTCTATTCTATTTGTTTCATTCTATTCTATTATTTTCAATTCCAAATAGGAATCATCGTCTTGTTTCACTTTTATACTGTACTTACTGTACACAATTTTTGCAGCATGTGCCATATTCTAATACATATTCTAAATCATTTTCCAAATCGAATTCATGTTCAAATTCAGATAATTTTTTTCTTTATCATTTATTCCAGATTCGTTTTAATTCTTTAATATTGTGATTCAGAAATGCAGATACATCAGGAGGTGACAGAAGAGCCTTGTCTCTACTTTCTACAGAAGGTATTGGAAAAGATAAAGTTCTAAGCATGGAACTAATGATCACTGTCCGCACAATACATAGTCATGAGATCCCACTGCTGATTTAAAAAAAGATGGATATGGCAAACCTCTCATTATGGGGCAAAATGATAAGCTAACTATATAAAATGTAGTATTGGCAAACACAGATGCCTCAGCTTTAAATGCATTCAGTTTGCCAGCTGTTTACAAGGACTCAAACAGTAGGATTCTGAGTATTATTAGCTAAGGAAAATAAAAGATCAGGATAATCTCTACTGTATCTTGTAATTGGTGGAATTCCTCATCTTTCTAGGACTGGTGAAATAACCAACAAGAAGGCTTTAGTCATGCGATCTCTGCTGAAAGTGAAAATTGGTCTTTAGGTGAGACTGAGCATTAGGGCTTTGCCCTAATCTGAAAAGGTAAAATCATTCCAGTAATACCATGTTTAGAGATATAGTTCTCATTTGTTTTGGGACGGAGGAATCTTTCTGATCTCCTCAACCTCTTTAAGCCACATGGGGATGGGGTTTTCAGGGATGCAGGCCATTGCCGCATTCATAAGGTGCCTGAGAATAGACTTGTGATAAGATTTGAAGGGTATGCAAGAGATACAGTCCTGGCTCCTTTCCAGAAGGTTTCCAGTGTTGGGCACAGCCAGAATATGTGATATAGAATACCAATAGAGTTGCAGCGCCAGCATAAATCCAAGACAGTAGAGCAGAATGTACGATGAACAGATAGGGTTCTATACCACTGGGTCAGAATTCTGAAATTTGTCTCATGTTGGCGAAACAGGACAGAAGTTGCAAACAAGGATGCATCTGCACAGACATACCATCAAGGAACATAAAGAAGGTGACCTTTGCATACCTGTGGGACACCATTTCACACAAC